TTTTACTGTACACTGTAATACATTTCACTGTATTACACAACCTCTAAAATGAAGGAAACATGACAAAGAGAAACCCTTACCTTTATTTGTAAAACCTATGGCGTGAAATGGGAAACAACATCCATCTTCCTGAAAATAAACAGTGGCTGTGCCACCTTGAAGGAATTTTCCCAAATAGAGTTGTGGTCAACTGAGTCACATTCGTTCACTACAGACAAACTACTTGCATTTCCTGAAAGTCTGCGTTTAAAGTGTAATATGCTTGGTATGTTGCAGAGCAGAAGAGAACCAATGGGAAATCAGAAGAATGAACCATGACATTATTCCGCAAAGCTTAGTAACTATTTAAAGTGACCAACACAATTGTTTTAGATTAAGAGTTGCTCTTTCCATAGTGTTGTGTTGTTTTATTAGGTTAGTTCATAGAGGAGAACATGGCTAGTTGTCACACAGGGAAATTGGCAGGACTGATTGTCACATTTACAAGCAGTGAAGTGTCACCCAATATATTAATTTTGGGTTCTTTTGACCAAAACAATGGTTTACTGTGGGTTTTAATAATTTTACTGTAGAAATGTATCGGAAATGCCAGTAGCCTATAAAACCACAATAAAGGTGATAATGTTAATTTCACTTCCAGGATGAGGAGGAAATGTTTTGGCGTAGGTTGCTGTTTGTAAAGCATATTTGCACCATCTGTTGTGAAGATCGTTGTTTTGGAATTAGTGTTTGCTCCAAATGCAAGCATAAAGTTGTTTGTTTCTTGGCAGGGCTCATAGACTGTTGAACATGCAAAATGCGATGCAATAAAGATGGGGGTCCAAGAATGGTTTAGTTTTGATATTAAAATGATTTAACTGTTTTGGATTTGTTGAACTGCTTTAAATGACAACAAATTGAAGCATGTGCTTTTATTTACAAGAATATATACTTTTCATTGCTTTTGTTAAATGACCTATTTTCAGTGGAAAATGTATGTATCATCTGTCTTTGTGTTATAGATTTAAATCGTCATGAGATATTGTGGATTTTTTTGGTTACAAGTAGACACTGGGTCCCTACTGCCCTAAAGAATAGAAGATAGCTTGTTAAAGGAATAGGTTGCCTAAAAATTAAAAATTTGTCATCATTTATTCACCCTCAAGCTGTCCCAAATATGGGGTTCTTTCTTCTGTTGAACACAAAAGAAGATATTTTAAAAATTTTGTTTTTAAAAATTGGTAACTAAACAGTTGATGGTATAGCCAGTGATTTCCATAGTTTTTTTTAATTATTTATTTATTTTGTATGGGTTTTTATAATGGGGTTTTTCGAATCACGAGTAAAATTATATCTACGGTAAACATGACGATACTTGGACGTTTTGCTGTACAACGTGAATTGAGCCTTCACGCGGAGTTTGATTGACAGGCAATCTGACCAATCATGATGCAGAGTCCGCCATTTTGTCTGACAAACAAATCGGACAGGGCTATGTTTCTCAAAAGTGCACTTAACACAATCGCACGTAGCCCTGCTTTAAGTGCTACTTAGGAGTCGCTATCCATTTATCAAGTACTGAAATGTCACCTTATAGAATGGCTCGTAAATGTAGTACACGCTCGTTTATTGAAACGTTAACCTAATGCTGCATTCCAGAAAGCTCGGATATAATATTATATAATATAATATAAGTATAATATTTATCTAATATATATATATTAGTCACATAGCATCATTTTCATTATAAAGTTTAACATCAGCTCACTGGTGTAAGCAGATTATGACATTTCAATGTAAAGCCAAACCAACCGTAAAATTAAGATCAGTCGTACAATCGTTTTTACGAACTTCTTAGGCTTACGAAGCTTTTGGGAAATGCAACCCGGATCCAGTATACTGATACACATCTGGTTTTCACCCAACTGTTAATGTTTATTTAACACATAACCGACTGTGTTTACGGGAATACTCCACATAGTGGGAATTTTGACATAAGTGTGTGCATATTTGACCATTCAAGCACAATAAAACACGGAAGAGATCTGTTTTCGCGATCGCATGCTGTCTGAGAGAGGGGCTTTCAGTGCGTGCGCTTCGGCTGTGTCAGAGCGAGCAGGGGATTGAGTTCTTTTTCACTGCTTATTGCGCTTAATAACTTAATTAAACATCATGCACGTCCCAAATTTGCGATCACATGCTGTCTGAGAGAGGCAATTTCTGAGTGTGCGCTGTATGTGTGTCAGTCAGCGCAAGCACTGTACAACAGCAATTGATGTTAAAGCTTTTCTCAGAACAAAGCACTTTTTAATGATAAGAAACTGGTGTCAAGTCACATTAAAAAGCTATCAAAATGTCCCTTTGTAAAATATTTACGTTTAGTATGTAAAATACAGATTATTTATTAAGCAAAACGAAAACTTATATTACATGTACAAAATTACATTTATTCCAAGTGTGCTCTGTTATAAATCATGAAAAAACATTGATTTGGCTGGAGTACACAAACGTGCCTTAAAATAGTAGTGTTTCTGAATGTAAATGGATTCGCATTGAGATCAATATTATAGTCTGATGCAGAGTGTCATGAAGGTGAGTCTGGGGCTCATTAGAACATTCAAAAGGTGCATATTTTCCTAACAAGTATAGTGTATTTCACATCATTTAAGATGTTTTTGGTGTCTGTGGCGCTGATGAAATGAGAGTAAATCATTCTGTAGTTCTTTGTCTCGTTGCTAGTAGCTTTCTGTTTATGTTCAGTGAACTGCAAGGCATCTCCTACAGCCTGACATTTTCCTGAAGGTGGCGCCAAACCACAGAAGAAAGGAAAGGAAAGAGCGGATCATTTATGACAAACGAGATCACACACACATATAATGCTTTGATGTAATTTAAAGTGCATCAAATGACTTTTAAATTGAGGAAAGTATGTTTTTAAATCTGAGAACTTAATCGTCTCGGCCAGGATGCCCGTTTTGTTCAGGAAGAAGCTGATGAAGGAATTACCAAACCACGGTAAATGGATGGTATTGTAGAACAACGTCAAACACTCTTTCATACGGTTCTGGAGCCAAAGAGAGGAAAAGTACACCGATTTATTAATAGCGAGGACAGGAGATGTATTTCTGTAAATCTGCTTTGAAATTATATCATTAAAAGCGCTATACAAATAACCGTGAATTGAATTGACATGAGAAGAGGGGCAGAAACGTATATCTTTGTTATTCGCCTCCAGAGAGTGGTCATACTTACTGAGGGAGGCGAGAAATATGAGTGACAACATCACATTCTCGAAGTAATGAATCCACTTCCTTCTCTATCCTCTCTGACCTCCGACATCTACAATCCTGAAAAGAGTTTAGTCTCATCTACTTTTCTATGTATAATGCTATCTTTAGTTAAAAGGATTGTGTATCCAAAAATGTAAATGCTCTCATTTACTCACCCTCATGATATTTTGAACAATCTCCATAATGTCAATTTTTTGTCCATAAAATAATAGTCACTGAGGTCCAAAATAAAATGTTTATGGCATTTTTCAAAATAAGGTAGTTGACAGCATAAAGTGCCTATCAAATCTGTTGTATCCTTTATAACATATCAATATAAACGTCCAGGGCTATACTTAAAGGAATAGTTAAACCCAAAAATTAAAATTCTGTCATTAATTACTCACCCTCATGTCATTCAAAACCGTAAGACCTTCGTTCAGCTTCGAAACACAAATTAAGATATTTTGATGAAATCTGAGAGCTCTCTGACCCTAGACAGCAAGGGTACTACCACGTTCAAGGCCCAGAAATGTTGTAAGGACATTGTTAAAATAGTCAATGTGACATCAGTGGTTCAACTGTAATTTTATGAAGCTACGAGAATACTTTTTGTGTGCAAAGAAAACAAAAATAGCAACTTTATTCAACAATTTATTTTCTTCTATGTTAGTCTTCGACGCGCGTTCACGAGAGTGCATGTGTGTGGTGCTGCTGATGCAGGAGCTGGCACGTGAATTGTCAGTTTTTGTCTGGAAATCAAGTTATTCTATATTAATTACAGGTTTGATTGTTGAACAATACCAATATTACACTCCAACCCAAGACTTCACTACAGCAGAGGAGCTGGCCCTGGAGTTGAATAAAGGGAAGCCAGTGATGGAAGGGATCCAGGGAGGGACAGCCACTGACTCTGGCCCAGCAAGAGAAACTGGCCTCTTCATACAAAGTACATTATTGCCATTCTACTGCACATGGAAAACAATCAAATATTTAGATTTTTTTATGTGGACTGTCTGACTTTGCCTTACCTTGCAGTGTCTGGTAACACACTTACACTTCTGGAGCCACCAGACTATGATCCGCCGGTGAGTACTCTTTATTAAAATCATAGGCTTGGCACATCCTGTCAAAACTATCAATACAAGTTCTATTGAATATGGCAGAGGGAAGGCACATCTGCAGCAGTGGAGTGCACTTCTGCCGATGATGAGACGGTGTCGCTGGACTCCAGAAGGCTTGAGGTGTCATGTCAATTTTGTGTACATTTTTAGTCCATAATGGATAAGTAGTCAGCAATGTGATTCTAATAGAACATATATTTTTAACAGGATCCAGACACTGTGCAGCCTGATAAGCAGCCTGGTAACATAGTGAGTATTGCCTAAAGTAAACCTACATTATGCACAAATCCCACTGTGCTAATTGATAGGTGTTTTACATAATTCACAAACTGTCAGACGTCTCTACACAATGCATCTTAAGAGACAGATAGAGCTGGCAGAGGGCAAGATCGAAGTGAACAAGAGAAAGCTGCAGGACATGGACCTTGAGATGGAAATTAAACGCAAGACACTGAGGAAACTGGACTTGGAAATCCAGAAACTAGAGAGAGAAGTAAGTGATTTCAGTTCACACTGCAACCATGACTGCACAATGTATTAATCATCGTTATTTTTTCTCTCAAAAGCTTCAAGCTGACAAGTGATGACAGCAAACTAAAAAAATACAAAATACAAAAACATTGTGGTCTCGTACCTTTTTCATTAATGTCCAGTACACTATATAGTTATTGATCCAGTGAATTGGAACTAGAATTTGGGAAGATAACCACACAGTGTGTGCTACTAATGTCAAACAAAATGCATGCACACATGAAAGAGTGACATACATTATGCTTTATTAAAGGATAGGCGAAATCAAAACAAAATTAACTGAAATAATTTGCTATATATTGTTCTCTGACCAGTCTACCATTTATGTTATCTGGGAAGATGGCAGCATTGTCCCAGACAATATCCAAAGCAACTCTGGGAGCCCTTTCTTTTCTTAGGCTGGCAATATTGTGCAGCACTGTGCAGGCAACAGTCACGTCACAGGCCCTGTCTGGGGAGACCCTCAGGTGGTGCAGGCACTGAAATCGTGATTTCAGGAGGCCGAAGGTCATTTCGATTCGAGCCCTCGTTCTGGCATGGGCATGGTTGTAAGCCTGCTGTGCTAGAGTTTGGGGGTCTGCAAGGGGGGTCAACAGGAACGTCTCAAAGGCATAGCCTTTGTCTCCTAGCAGCACACCAGAGAACTCACCTGAGAATACAAAATATAATTCTTACAACTAGCAGAGTAAAACTTCTGACACACACATGATGTCCAAGGTGCTTAAAAAAATTGGGGTGGCTTACCTAGTGAGAGTCTCTGGTAAATTCTACTGGCCCGAAAGACTCTGGAGTCATGGACCGAGCCAGGCCACTTTGCCTCTAAATTTGTGATAAGGCAGTCAGCATCACAGATCATCTGTAACAATAACATGTGACCTATTAAGGTCATTTAATGCACAGAAATAATTTATGTAGCTGACAGTAACCATAAATCATTCTTACCTGAACATTGATACTGTGGAAAGATTTCCTGTTTCCTGTTAACCCCTCATGTGCCCCTGAGGGCCGTTTGATACGGATATGGGTGCAATCCACTGCACCAATGACCAATGACAAAGCTGTAAAAAAAATGAGTTTCCTACTGTGACTGTGCTAATGTAACACTTTTTTGTTGTAATCTGTAATTAGTGTAATCTAATCTTGTAGAACTCCTCCTTGATGTGGTGGAATCTTCTGTGGCCAGGGAAGGTGATGAATATGTGCGCAAGTGATTTCAGTGCTAGACTAACTTTATTTCTTATCGTGCGGCAAATAGTGCCTTTATTGAGGTTTTCAAGGTTTTCAGCAGAATAAAGGAACATGCCACTTGCTAAGAATCGCAGCGCCACACAGACCATCTGTGGGATCTGTGGGACAGGGCTTCGCACTGTTCTGTGTTGTATCTTTGGACCCAGCAGCCTACACAGATATCGGATGCCATCACCTGAGAATCTGTACCTCTCAGTCAGATATTCGTCTGCAAAGGCCAACGGGTCTGACCTGTCCCGGAAGACTCTTTCATGCCTGAATGCTCGTCTGAGTATTAACACTTCCTCGTCTAGTACATCATCCAACAAAGGGCACGCCATCGTTAAGAGGAAACACCTGAATCGGACTTAAGCCTATATATACTACATATTGACCTCGTCATGGACTTAAATGAAACCACCTTTGCAACTTCATCAGCCATTTCTTAGATTCTCAACAACTGCAATAATATATGTATTCATCAAACCTCTGACAGCAATATGAACAGTCTTCATAATAACACTAAAATAGGCATACTTCGATGAATGACTATATCTAGTATTTTAATGCAGAATAATTAAAATGATGCAACATATTTACAGAAGACCATGGAGTGACTGTAAAACATTAATTTCTAGTAGGATTGACAGCGGAACTAACAGATAAATCACTAGGATTAATCTTAGCCTGGTTGTTAGCCTGCTCTGGAGCAGGCTAGCTGCAAAGAATAAATCTCCATAGCAACATAATTTAGCTTAATTTAGCCTGCTTTCATGCAACTGAGTCAGGGCTAAATTCAACCAGGATAACTGGAAAATCCCAGCTTAATCCCTTATATTGCTTTTGTGCAATACCCCTCTGCTGTCAGCCTAAACGATTCATCAAACACCTGAACCCTAATGGACCTTAATCACTTACCACCTTTCTCAGTTAGCTCATTTTGCTGTTTGCATTTTGCCTAATCCCTTCAAAGGGTTTACCCTCCGGAGTGAGAGCTTCGAAGGGTTGAAGGGTGTAGGGGACCAAACAACTG